GGGGGCGGGGCGGGGGCTGTCGCTGTCGCTGTCCCGGCCCCGGCGCCGCCCGCTCGGCCCCTTCCCCCGCCGCGAAGCGCAGTGTTCTCCCCCGGGAAACGGGGCACCGCGCACGCCTTTACCTCCCCCCCAGGACTCCACCGCTGCTGCCCGCCCCGCCGCCGGCACTTCTGACCGACCTGGAACCCTAACAGATAGGGCGGGCGGCACAAGGGGGGCTCTCTGTTGACCCCCTGCACTGAACCCGACGAAAAGCCCGAACAAGGAGAAACTATTCCAATATTATCAACTCTTGCACCCTTCCTTTCATCCTTGTTGACTAACGCCATTAAAAACCTGCTTTTCCAGGGCTGTGGGAACAGGTACGACCCTGGGGCAGCCCTTCCAGCTTTACCACAAACGCTACTTGTGTGCCAACAGGACACTGCGGAAAGAGCTGGCCCAACATGAAGACGACTCCAGACGTTCTTCTTTCACTGGCAGCGCTGATAAGCACTCGCTCCTCCTTTCCGAAGGCCTTTATCTCTGCAGACCACAGGGATCTTCCACCCTTCAGCGTCTGTAAGCGACCGTGAAGAAATCTAACCTAATGAGATTCCACCGGTTTAGCCGACAATAACACGCCAAGGACAACTGCAGCACTTCATCCTCACCCAGCGTAACCACCGCCGCTGCGAACGCGTCCAGATTGCGACGGGAAATAAGATTAGGATGGAAAACAGCTGGTCCAGAGCGGACGACTCAAGTGATACCGGATGGAAAAGAGGAACGTTCAAATCAGAAGTTGTCTGAGATGTTTTTAGCGCCTTTCACAGGACGTGCACAGCCATCAGCCAGCAAAGAGAGGCAGACTCCCACAGCCCATACTCATTTTGGCTGTCTGAGTAGCATACATTTTCCAAAATAACTCCCTTTCACCTTCACCTTTTTGGGAAACTCTGTCTCATCTTGCACAGGAGACTCTGCCCAAGAGAAACACAGGGCTTTTTTCATGTCAGGCTGGGTTGCAACTCACTGTATCAAGATGAAAATACTGTTTCAAAATTGTTACTGAAAAAAAAAAAATGTTGCTTTGGAGCAAAGGCTTCAAGCTCAAGTCCTTCAAATGGTTCCTAGTCAGCTTCAAATGCCAGTCTAAGGCACTGGCCCGGTTGGCCAAAGAGCTAACAGATCAACCCCAGCAACATCGCAGGCTGCATGAAGATCCACAAACAGCTGCTTCCCTCTGCAACACCACAGATTACAAGCCCCAGAACAAAACACAGCGGAGTAGATGAAGTGTGCCTTTTTTGAGGTTATCCGGACAAAGGAGAACAAGCGAGTCCACAGTATGATTGTTTTTAAGCAACATCGTAGGTATCTTTCAGAAACATTTGAAAAAGATTTTCCATTACAAGAGACATTCACAGTTTGTTTTATCACCAAACTCCAAACAGTCTCTGATTGTCCTGGTTTTGGCTGGGATAGAGTTAATTTTCTTTCTAGTGGCTGGTAACAGTGCTGTGTTTTGGATTTAGGATGAGAATAAGGTTGATAACCCAGGGATGTTTTAGTTACTGCTGAGCAGTGCTTGCACAGAGTCAAGGCCTTTCCTGCCCCTCACCCCACCCCGCCAGCGAGCAGCCTGGGGGGGCACAAGACGCTGGGAGGGGACGCGGCTGGGACAGCTGACCCCAACTGGCCAAAGGGATATCTCACACCGTATGACGTCATGCCCAGCATATAAAGCTGGGGGAAAAGCTGACCGAGGGTCCACTGCTCAGGAACTGGATGGGCATCGGTCAGCGGGTGGTGAGCAATTGCATTGTGCATCACTTGTTTTGCATACTCTTTTATCATATTATTATTTTCCCTTTCTTTTCTGTCCTATTAAATTGTCTTTATCTCAACCCATGAGTTTTACTTTTTTTTTTCTCCCGATTCTTTCCCCCATCCCACTGGGGGGAGTGAGCAAACGGCTGTGAAATCCAAACAACTTAGTCTAGTTCCAACTCAACAAATAGAGAAAGGTCCCTTCTTATTACCCAGGGGAAGTTGGGGTTCTTATTCATTTTATGCAAAAAGCTACTCAGACATTCCAGGGAAGGAAGGAGTATAAAAGACTGGCTTTCTTGGTCTACAACACTCACTTGACTCCTACTTCCATGTATCTCCTCCTTGACCCAATTTTCCCTTCCTGTTCTCCTTCAGATCCATCTCTCTCCTCAAACCTCCAACCACCCTTTGCACTCAAGCTCTGCATCCTCACTCCTATTCCCTGTCCGAGCTCCCAGCCTGCCGGCCATTTTACGATTTCATATTCCCTACAGACCCTCCTTGATTCAATGTATTTCCTCAGGCAGTTTCATTTTTCACCACCTTTCTCCTTGACCCTATCCCCACCTTTCATCCTCTTGATTTTCACGCCAAACCGTTCCTACCTTCTCCTAGGTTTTCAGCCAGTCTCAGTCCCATACCTGCTGTGTTTCCTTCTGCAGCTCCCAGGTGTGATAGCCTTTCCTAGCCAAGTCCAATCTCCATCCTTAAAAGTCCAGCCCAGTGTTGCTTCATCCTCACTCCAGTCCTGGCTAGCCTGTCACCCAGTTTCTGGCTGTGGCTGCTGTACAGTTACAGCTTCTCCTGGAAATTAAAGTAAAATGTCAGTACAAAATGCTCACAAGTTTTTAAACTATCCTCCTCTTAAGATGTATTTCGGCAGAAGGAAAACATTTGTAACCCTAATTTTGCGTTAACAGTACATTTTGGTGTGGATTTAAATGTATTCCTAAATAATCATCTACATGAAAGATGAAAATACACTATTTCCAGCGTTTTTACTAGGAAGTTACTAGGGGTAGGAATCACTGGCACTTAGGAAGGAAAGTACATGTCATTTAAAACGTCAAAATGATTTACAATCATTTTGTCTCTGTGTAAATAGTTTTCTGTTATTATTTGTTTTGAAGTCTTCTGTGTCATGACTTTGTACACCACAGAAATTACAGCATTGTAATTGCAGCCATTGTAATGCACAGTTGTCCGATATGCTGGATTGCCTATTACCCCACACAGCGCACATCTCTATCGTTCGTATTATTTATACTCTCTGTCAATATATAGGCAAAAAATATACCGGCCAAAACTAGCAGCTGTATAGTACACTTATCTTTAGAGATTGGCACCTACTGGAAACGCAGATAAGTTGTTGTGTAATAGTAGTAGACACAGCTTTTTCCTCTCTTTCATCTATTTTCATTGGGTCTTTTAATCATCTGTTCTGCCTTTTGCAGTTCTCGAAAATACTTCACATATAGTAGACATTATGGCCTTGCTGTTTAAAGAAAACTCTTAAACACGTTTACTTTTAAGCACCTCTCAAGCTCCATGGACTTCAATGGAAGATACGTACTCTTAAATTTACACATGCTGAAGTGTCTCCCTGAAGATTGATCCCTAAGGTAAGCCCCCTGTTTAAATAATAAGGAAAGAGTACATGTGCCACATGAAAAAATTCTTGGAATTCCTGGGTTCTTTAGGAAAGCTTAAAAGAGACAGCTACTTTAAAATGCAAAATTATCAGTCCTGTCAAAGGTACTTCTTTTCACACTTTGAGCATCACATATGTGCAGGGGATTCAGAACAATCTATTTTGGAGACAAACTGCATTTTTTCTAAAATGTCATAACCCAAGAGCAGTAAATCTGTTTTGGTATTTTTTTTCCTCCAACCTCTTTTTTTTTTCAATTTGAACTGTTTCAATGAAAATTTCTCCCAAAAGGAATTTCAAGGACAAAGTTCTAAGAGAGTGAAAATAAGCCTGCAATAGCTTAGTGAATAAGATTCAGGATTCCTGGATTTTGCTTCTCTTTTTGGATTACCACTAATTTTTAGGAGGCTTGATGAGTCTGACTCAGCCTCCACCTTTGTGGTTCCTCTCCTGCAAAGACTTACCAAGCGCTTAGTTTCACTGGGTACATGCCTGCTTTTATATATGGGCTCCTGGCTCTAATTCCCTGTGTATCATCCAGGATTCTCTTATTATAATCTCATTTGTATTGCCTATTATTAACATACATGGACTTCTGGAACTCATCTCTCATCCTTCTAATGAGGTCCTACAGAACATGAGAGAGTAAACAGCATTACATAAAATAGCGCTAATTCTTTCTTTTCCATGGTCTAGCGAGTTT